GACCAAACTAAAACTACTCATGCATATGTTGTATCACATCCATTTATACAAACCATAATACATAAAATCATAATACATAAAAACAGAAACATTTTAAAGAAGTTTTCAAGAAACCTGTAGTTTCTGTTAAACTAAATTGAGGTCATACACATTCATTAACAAAGTGGATGATAATGCGCAATTAAGCATTCAGTTCACTTTCAGAATTCAAAACAAGTAAATTATGGCATTATACTCAAAACACAGAAAATAAATATTCATGATAAAACTTCAACAGCCTTTAACAAAAATGTAGGTTAAGCTTGTTCAAGATGTAGGTTTTTGTATAAGATGAACAGATAATGGAACAGATAATGGAAGAAGATAATGGAAGAAGAAGAAACTTACCAAGATGGAGAAGACGGAACGAACGGCGACAACGACGACTGAAGAAGACGGAACGAACGGCGGCAACGACGAAGACGGAAGAAATGAAGAAGACGAAGAAATGAAGAAGACAGAACGAACGAACTTACCAAGTGAGGGCAAATATCAGATTTAGGGATTTTTAATTTAATTATAAAAAAACCTACGAAAGCGCTTTTAAAAGCGCTTTCGTATGCCCCCCATATGAGAGCGCTTCTGAGGTAAAAAGAGCTTTCGTATGCCCCCCATATAAGAGCGCTTTAGAAAGCGCTTTCGTAGGTCCCCCTTTCAGAGCGCTTTTCAAAAGCGCTTTTATAGGGCCACCTATAAGAGCGCTTTTCAAAAGCGCTTTCGTAGGTTAGATATTTCAAATACCTATGAAAGCGCTTTCTGAAAAGCGCTTTCGTAGGAAACCCTATAAAAGCGCTTTTTTTAAGCGAATTTTTTTTAAAGGCTACGAAAGCGCTTTCTCTTAAAAGCGCTTTCGTAGATGCGCTGCCAAAAATTGTTTTTTTTGTAGTGCTTAAGGGTAAATGGACAAGAGTTTGTTTTATCCAAAGTATCCAAATTATAATTAACATGTTATGCAAAAATAAGTTATTTGTCAGATCCTCATAATGGTATATCACACGAATTGCTTGTTTACTTATCGTGGTACAACTATTTCATGGAGATCTGCGAAAAAAATCATAGCAACAACTTGCTTTAATTATGAAGAAATTTTTAACACTACATGAGACAAGTCGAGAATGCGTTTAGTTGGGATCCCAAATTCAATACACACAAAAGATTTGTGATTTGAATTTTGAAAAAATAAATACAACAACTATATATAAAGATAATATTGTATGTATTGCTCAATTGAAAGATGATTTACGTTAAAGAAGATCGAACAAAGCATATTTCTCCAAACTTATTTCCAGTCATGATCTTCACAAAAAGTGGTGATATAAGCTCCAAAAAATTTATTCATGTGATAATCTTGCAGAACTTTTCACGAAGTCACTCTATAGTGGAACTTTAAACTAACTAGTGCAAAAGATTGATCTCCATTATCGAAGAAATGATCGTTCAGCTCAGGAGGGAGAAATGAATTTGTTCAGCTGAAAGGAAGAAATTAATTCATTTTAAAAGGATATTGTACTCTTTTTACTTCACTAGATTTTTTCTATTGGATTTTTTTAGTATGTTTTTAACGAGGCATATTCTTTATGGATATCCAAGTGCGAGTGTTATAAATGACATGATTATAGATGCTCATCAATTAGGATATTTCATATTGATTTTCCATTCATTACATATGTCCTATAAATAGAACTCATATTGTATTTGAATCACTCACTTAGAATGAGAATAATATAATAATATCTCTTCTTCTCTTTCTTTATTCTATTGTTTTATTCGGTTTCATAACAACTCTTTTTATTTTAATTAGTATTATTATTAATATTTTTTTATATTTGGCTATATAACATTAATGAGAAAAGGAAATATAAAATAGAATAAAAAACAAACAAATACAAAAGTTACATGCATTGGACCCTCAGAGGCCCCCATCGCATTCCTAAATCACAATTCAAAGATCTTCCACTAAAAAAATATACTTCTCAACTGACTATTTACTTCACTAGAAGAACACCGACTAAAATTTTTAATATCGGACCGTCCACGTCGAGTAAAATAGACTAAAACACAAAACAATCCAAAGTTGTCATAAATCACACTCTCAAAGGTCCATCATCACCTTCCCAGACAATTTACATGTCTTTAGTAGAAAGAGTCATTTTCAAGTGATTATTTTCTTTATTAGAAGAACACCGACTATAATTGTCAATATTGAACCATCAGAATGTGTAACATGGACTAACAAACAACATATTGAAAATTTTCATTAATTGGACTCCCGGAGGGCCAAAATGACCTTCCTATGTCATAATTAATCAGTCTTCCACAAAAATGGTCCTTTCAACTAACTATTTTCTTACTTGAAATAACACCGACTACAATTTTCAATATCATAACGCCTAAACGTGTAAAATTGAAAAGAAAAAAACAAAATTTCCAACAATAGGACTCCCGGAGGTCCACCATCAACTTTCCAGATCACAATTCATAGGTCTTCCACTAGAAAATATTCTTCTCAACTAACTCTTTCATTCACCGAAAGAACACCAACTATAATTTTCAATATCGAATCGTCCATATCGTGTAAAATAGACTAACAAACTAACAAATTCAAAATTTTCATCAATCGAACTTCCAATAGTGCATCATCACCTTGTCAGATCACAATTCACAAGTCTTCCACTAAAAATGATCCTTTTCAACTAACTTTTTCCTTCACTTGAAGAATACCGACTAGAATTTTCAATATCGGACTGTCCACATCGTGTAAAATAGACTAAAATACAAACTAAACTTAAAAAACTCATCAATCGGACTAACTCATGTCCACAATCATCTTCCCATATCATAATTCATAAGTCTTCCACTAGAAAAGTCATTCTCAATTGACTTTTTCCTTCACTAGAAGACCACCTATTAGATTTTTCAATATCAAATTGTCCAAATCGTGTAAAAATGACTAACAAACAAATTAAAAAATTTCATTAATCAAACATCCATATCTTCACCATCACCTTTCCATATCACAATTCACGGATCTTTCACTATAAATGGTTCTTCTCAACTAACTATTTTCTTCACTAGAATAACATTTGTAGTATGACATGTAATATAAGAGGGTGAATTAGATTATACAGTATTATCGAATTTTTCTTGATTTATGATTGTTAGAGATGATGTTCTTATTTTTCAGAACTAATATAAAATATAAAGTTCTAAAAAATAAATGTAGAAAGTAAATAACACCAAAAGATATACTAGTTTCCCCTTCTAAACAAGACTACGTCTAATCCTCTATTATTCCGTGAAAGATTTCACTATATTAGAAATGTTACATTTGATATACTTGATCCTCTTAACTATCTAACATAAACACAAAAGCACGCCACCTCTGATTTCACAAATTTAGAGAGAGAAACCTACTTCCTCTTCAACAACCTTGATCCAACAATTTTGGAGTCAAATTATATCAATTTTATTTAAGTTACAAGTGAGTTTTAGAAGACAATTGAGTATGATTAATTCTAATTTTTTTTGACAGAATGAATAATTCATAGGTCTTCCCCTATGGATATTCTACATTCCTATGCATTCAAGATATTTGTGATATGATATGAAAATGACATGCACAAAGTATCTAATTAAAAGTATGAAAGAAATAATTTATAGTGTTTTTGAATATTGATAGAGGTAAATTGAAATAAAAAATTTGATTCCTATTTATAAGACACATGCAACCCTTGGTTAATCTTGATAAGGTTAGAAAAAAATGATCAGAAAAGCAATGCCATGGTTTAGGAGAAAATGCCACAAAAAGATGCCATGAATAGCCGTGTCTGATTTCCATAAAATTGAAAAATACAAAAGCAACAATTGATTACATGAACTTGACCATCGATTGGTTCAATAATTCCAACGTTTAAAAATGCAATTTTTAGTCATGTCAATCGATTGGTTTAAGCCAACAATCGATTGGTCTAATTAAAATTTTGATTTTTCTGAAATAGATAGTTTGAAACAATTACTTGTAGTAAAAGATCAATTGATTGGTTCACATGAGAAAATGGATAAAATTACTAAGTTAAAAATAGACAAACTCAAGACCCTTGAGTAGTTTTAATACAAGCCTCTTAACCACTATAGTAAATCCATCATTCATTGAAAATATGCACAACATATTTGAAATGCCAAAATAGTTTTAAGATGAAAGAATTAAAACCAAATTTAGATGGTTGAATTTCAATAAAGATCTCGAGCACTTTAAGATATAATGTATATTGAATTGTTTTATACCTTTGAATCAAGATAATGAGTTTAATACAATAATTATTTACTTAGTTCAAAGCTTGATCTTGATGTAATCTTTTCTCTTTTTTTCCATCATATTTGTCTTCATCAAAATATATTTAAGTGAGGTCTTAACTTTACAAACTCTCTCTTTTTGATCATGACGAATACTTGTATGTTTTGTTAATGTTAACCCTGTTGGATGGCTTATCCATATTGAGGAACATTTTGTTTGTGAGATTGACGTTGAAGTATTGGAAGACCTTGTTGAGAAAATGAGCATATGGTAGGCCTTCAAAATTTTCATGGTGAGCAAGCAAGTGGCACATGATAACATACGCCCAATTAACCGGTAAGTTATTCTTGATGACGAACAGAAGTTACATTTCCATGTAGGTAATAGAGTAGTGATTCGAGTACCTTGGAACTAGAACATACACCAGAAAATAATGTAGCATTCTATCATGAATAATATTATTTGTGCGATCATTTTCTGGGTATGTTTTCCAATTGTTGTAAAATGCCTATATTTTTAAAAAACTGTCAGGAAACTAAATTTTCTCTAAAAGCCAAATTTTATCAAAAAATAGGGCTGAATTTTGGAAAATTGGAACCAAACCGGCAACGGAGGCTGTCAGGGTGAGGGAGGCCGCGCAGCAGGCGTCCTGGCGCAAGCGACGGAGATGTCAGATAGTGTCGTGCCAGCGGCGGCCAGCGATCGGAGTCGCGACGACATCAAGCCCAACCTCAAAGACGACGATCGAATTCCAATAAACCACACAGCAGCGGTTGGCCGCTGCTACAGCGGCATGCAAGCGCGGTCAGTGCCATAACAGTGTTGCACGATGGCGAATATGTTGCAGCGGGTTCGGGTGGGTCTGTATGTTTTTTGACAGTTTCATGTTTGGGGTTCGTTTAGCTGATTTTTGAACAATTTTTGATATCAATGAACTTTTTGTTATCATTGGACAATTTTTTGGAAATTGAGTTAAAATCTTTAGAGTTTAGTAGAGTTATTACTTGTGAAAGTTGTCAGTAGGACACTTTTAAATAATTTGGATTCTTAAGAGTCATCCTATAGTTATTTAGTTGGTAAGATGTTTAGAGTTTGCTTTGGTATTCTGTGAAATTATTTATTTCAATTAACTTTGGAATTGAGAGTATATTTCATAAAATATTTTTTTTTTGTGATGTTTTTGAGTTGAGGTAAATTATGAGTAATAATACAATTTTATTTGGTGGTTGATTAGTTTGAGAAAATATTTAAATATATTCTATTTTTGATTTGAGTAATCCAGTAGAATTACATTGAGGCCTAAATATTGACAAAATTATGGTGCAAGAGTGGAATCTATTTTGAGTATGATTTTGAGAAGTATTTTGATGAATGTTAGAGTTGTTTGTCTGTTTGCTCAACATAATCTTGTATGTATATATATTAGAGTTAGGTAGGACTTAGGTCCAGTATGGTCATGTTTAGTGAGGAACCATGACGATCTCATGCTTAGAGAGGGACACCGTTCAGAGAGGAATCGAAGACAGGATAAATCAGTAATAAATTTCTGATGTCTAAAAACCGATACCACATGCATATTGAAGGAGAAGTTGATGCATTTTGCCTTTTACATTTTGATTGTTGTTTTGTGAGATCCATTCTTTAGTATATGTTCATAAAAAAGGACACGAAGATCCACTCTTTAGACGTCTAAAGTTAATTGCATGTGTGATACACATGAGATCATAAATTATAAATTATACATTGTAAACACACAATCATGAATACTCAAATATTTATTCACATTATGTTTATATGTTAATTCCTCCTTAACATACTTATAATCTTCTAAAAAGTGGTGATATAAATTCCAACAAATTAGTTTATTTGATAATTTTGCAGACTTTTTCACAAAGTCATTCCATAATAGAAATTTTAACCAATTAGTGCAAAAGATTGATCTTCATTGTCGAAAATAGGGTTAATCAATCAATTAAAATTTGTTTTCTTATTTTTATTGTTTTAATATAATTTTAAAAATAAATTATATTTAATTTAATTAAAAAAATAAACTACAAAAATAAAATATTTATAAGATTAACTAAAAGTATTCCATGAATTATTTTTAACCAAGCTATGTTTGCCATGTTATTAAGCCATGTAATAATAGAGAAGGACCACAAAAATTCCACAATTATAAGAAACTCAATTTAAAAAATATGAGAACTAAAAATTAATCTTAATCAAAATATAGAATCAAATATAAATTTAACCCTAAATATTATTAAATCTTGACAAAATCTTAACTTTTTTTTTAATATATAAACATAATATCTTCTGGATGCAACTTCATAGATTAACCCTCAAATCAAGGAGAACCAAAATAGTCTTTGAATCGGTTTTATTGTGCAAGCAAATTATGGTCTCTTTTATTTCAAAATCCTTATTTCATGACCATGTTTCAAACAAATTTCTTATTTAAAGATCATCTTTATTACAACGATACATTTATCTTCCTACAACATATTGAACCTAAGTCTAACAGATACAAATATGACTCTAACTTGTATTCTTTATTTGGTGACAAGTTTGAGAATATGATCGGATTATATTGTCCAAATTCATATAAAGACTCATTTAATTTTATGATGCATGGTTATTTTAGTGTTAACGACATTCTTTTTATTGAAGATGTGGGAAGAGACCCTAATGGCATTGATTGTATTGAAGAATCAGGGAGATATATATTATGGAATCCAGCTACTGGGAAATTCCAAATCACTCCTATTAGTCCTTTTGCATATGAATCTCCTTGTTTAGAGCTCCTAATTGTATTTCATGGATTTGGTTATGACCAAATTAGAGATGACTATAAGGTTATCCGACTTGTAATGTTTTTTTTTTTTGAAATTGAAAAAGATGCGAAAGATCCATTATGGGAAATATATTGGATAAAAAGAAACTCATGAAAAATACTTGATACAGATATGCCGCCTTTGCCTATACAAAATCATAGTAGTATTTGTGATCAAGTGTATATGGATGAAGTGTGTTATTGGTAGGGTAAAGTGAAACAGATAACAAAGGTTATGAAATAAATGATGAAGTTTATTTAGTGTCATTTGACTTAAGCCGTGAGGTATTTGTTCAAACATCCATACCCTCAAATTTGGATGATATTGATATTGACATTGGTATTGATACTAGCACTATTATAAAACGTGTAAACAACAACTTCATTGTCATCACGGTTCTTCCATGCACCGTGGTGACATCTCTAAACTAAGACGTTCCCATATTATTTTTATTTTTTTGATTTAAAATTAATTGTATATAACAATGGCTGATGAGTCAACTGTGGTGAAATCGTCAAACTTTCATGGGTTCGAACCTCGGCGCCATCATATATATTATTCCATTAAGGCGCGCCTTTTCTTTTTTATTTATTTTTAAATAAAAAACTTAAATGGTTATGACTATGGTTGATATGTTCCATTATTGTGAAATTTAGTTTGTTTTTAATTTAAAATTTTTATTTGTAAATTAAACTCTGGTGCTTCTTTATGAAATTTCACTATGAAAGTAAAATATCATAATAGTTTCTTATTTTGGCTGTGGTTGTATCTTTATAATATTGTACACTCCTACTTAGCTTGTCTCTTCAGTATCCTTTTTATCATTGAAAAAAGAAACTAGACGAAACAATACATAATTTCAACCATAAATCCTAACGTTCAGTACTATGAAACAATACACGATTTCAACCAAAACACCATTGTTCACCCTAGCTTGTCTCTTCAGTATTCAATCTTCACTATGTATCTGTTATTTTCTTCATCATCGTCAAGGTTGACAAGACCATCACGATCGTGACATCGAGAAAGAAGAGTACACCAACCAAGTTGTCACCATCGAGAAGGAAGACAACAACAACACTGTCGTTGCTGTAAGGAAGAAAGACAACATCAACACCAACACCAACATCATTCACTTAGTCATCACATTTAGGATACGTAAATATTTTCCCCACGCATCTACGGTAAACTTCATTTTCTATTGTTCTGGTTGTTGTTTATGTTCTTGTTGTTCATGTTGTTGTTGTTGTTGTTGTTTTTGAATGTAGATGTCAACCTTGTCGAGTTCTTCATAAGATACTAGCGAAGAACATCAAACAAATGAGTGTTGTGCAAATGAAACTCGAACAATTGATACTCAATAAAAAAGATCACAAAGAGGTGTCACAATGATGCCCCAATTTACATCAGTCCGCAACTCATCAAGTGAAAAAACTCCAATTGAATTTGATTCGTTCTACTGAGTAGTTGATTGTGAACATTACTCTACTTTTAGGAGTTATGTTGCGTTCCTTGGACAGAGAAAAGTAAGTATATTAATAGATGATTAAAAACAAGTGGATGAGAAATTCAAAGAAAGCATATGGACAAATGTTAAGGTATTACATTCTATAATTTTCATATATTAGATATCACTACCTATAATTTCTAATACATTGATTTAAGTGTAGTTGAATTTTGAGTTTACCGATGACTCAAAGTTGAAAAAAAAGTGGATCTCTTATGTTGGTACTCGTTGGAGGGGATTTAAGTCACAACTCACGGCTGACTACATTAGGAAGCCTAAGAGTGGTCTTAATCATTCATGGAAAATATATAGTTTTATATCGAAGAAGCAATGGAAGAAGTTTGTGAAGATACGTCGTTCTGAGAAATTCAAGATTAGTACTAGTCTTACTTAATCGATAATGTTATGCTAATGATTTAATACTAATCATATATATTTTCCACTATGTAAATAATAGCTTAAAAGCGAAGTAGGAATACGTATCAAGGCAAAGAACATGTACCCCCGTAGATTATCTCGTGGGGGTTATAGGAAACTTGAGAAAATAATCATGCTTGAAAAAACAACCACAAACAGGAGATGATCACATCCCATCCCCATCGTAAAGACATGAGAAATGGAAGAGGGATCGATTAAGACCAAATGGAGAGTACACCTCTGAGACAACAAGAGTATTTTCTGAGAAAATTATAAATATGATTTGTTTTGCTTATGTTATTTGTTATTTAAATGTGTTAGTAACAATATACGTAAGTTGCTCATGTTGTGTAGAATGAGTTGTTTGAGGCGACCCGTGAAGGCGTATTTGTTCCAGAAGCCCGACATAAAATATTAGTAGAAGCAATCAGAACAAATAAGCATGGTGGATGTGTCCATGGTGTGGGAGAAGGTTTCGGCTTAAGGTTATTCTTTGGGTCTAAAAAAAAAGGTACCGAAATCTCAGAATTGAATGCACAAAAACAAAAGATTGAAAATTTTGAGAAGCAATTAGAAGAACAAAGGAGGATGTTAGACGAGGAGAGGGAAAAAAGGGGAGAAAGATATGGAAAGGTTTCAAGAGTTATATTCGGTATGTGCTTTACTTGAGATTTTAGTGTTTTATCGGAAATGTATAATATATATTATGCTTATTTTTGTCATAACTGGGTATTATGATGTAGAGATTAAGTGAAAACCTCGAACAACGTACAAATGAAGATCATCGCTATGTTGATGGTGATGATGATTATGATCATGATCAAACTCCAAGTAGAAGTGTTGTACGTCATGATTCTACAAAAGGAAGTAATTGTTCAATCCCTTCCCCCCCTTATGCTAACCGCAATAAGTAATTAGACCCTAACTCAAATGAAATCACCATGTTATACTCGAATATTGCAGTGATAAATAATGTGCAACCTCTCCCTCTAGAACAGTGTCCATATTTGGAGTTATTCTTTTACAATCCTAAAGATGTAAGAATTTTTCTCGGTGGATATAAGTGGCTAGACGTAGGGATATTGCAAGTTTGGTGCGCGTAAGTATATAGTTGAATATACATGTCATTATAGAACATTATCATTTTTTGTATTTCCTCAATTAATTTATTCATTTTCTTTAACCATTTAGGTACATTTATCGTGTTTGTATAGAGTTAAACAAATCGAGTATTTATGAAATCTTGGATACACTTTTTATTCTATGGGCGTATAATCAACCAAGAGACATTCAAGATTACTTGAAAAAATGGTTAAATGAGGGAGAAAAAGAATGTTACTTCGCACCATTTCTCTGTTCGTACATATTTTTGTAATTGATGTTTATGTATTCTATATTTAATTTTGTTTTAGCAAATACTAATAATATATATGCTCATGTTTGTTCAGTGGTCATTGACAATTGATCATAATATCATTTAAGATGAATACGATAATTATATTGTGTTCCTTGCATGAACCACTCGACAAAAAAATGAAAGAGATCATTAATTCGTAAGAGTATGTTTAATTCATTTTCTTTGATATTGTAGGTAGTTTAACATGTGATATGTTTAATTCATATTCAATTTATAATGTTGTAGAGCAAGTGAATATGATGAAAAATGTTAGAAGAAAGCCCTCATGGATATCTCCTAAAGTAAGTGGCTCGATTACCCATTAATTTCATTTACATTCATGTGTGGTTACATTCATGTGTGGTTACATTCATTTGTAGATGAGGAAACAATCTGAAAAATACGGGTGTGGATATTATGTTATGAAACACATGTTAAAGATTGTCCTTGTCAGCGTTGTTGATTCATGGGATAAGGTATATATGTCATAATATGTTTACATATATTAACATATAAGTTGACTATTGAATTATTATCATGCATGATATTCACTTTTTTTATCTTTCATATGTAGATGTTTAACATCGTAACTCCATTTTCTGTTGAGGACTTTGTCGATCTTCGTAAACGTTGAATGTATATCTACAATGTGCTTAAGGGTCCTGCTATTTAATTTATTGAGATGTGTTAATGACTTATTTTCTGTATATGATGGTGTGAATATTACTTTTGACTTAAACATATTGTGTTTGATGTAAATATTAATTTTGACTTTTGATACTGTTGTACCCCAAAATTTGCCCTCCCATTTCCTCAACATTTTCTCACCACAAGACCCTTGGAGCTCAAGATCCAGTTAGGGTTTCCTCTGCTCAAGACTTCTCCTTGCACTGTTGACCCAAATTAGGGTTTGTGTTTGCACAAATATGTTTTGACCTAGAATGCCTAAGATGACTTTCATGCCTTATATTGGACTCCCAAGTTTATCCATACCAAGTTTCAAGCCTTGATTCCAATCTTTGCCCAGTCAATTGGACAGTTGACCTAGAAATCAGCTGTATTGGGAAAAAGTCAACTGTGGTCAATTGACAGTCAAACCTCATGATTTTTGACCCACATCAACATTATGAACTCATATTAACCATTTGGTCAAGTTTGGATCACAATTCCACAAGAAATTTGATCAGATCACCAAAAGGGCAAAATGGTCATTTTTAGGGTTTTGACTGCACAAAGGCAATTTTTGACTATTTGACCTGGCCAATGGCAAACCAAGCTCACATATGGACTCAAGGACCCCATGTAATTGTCTTGACATGTTCAATAAGTTCAAAAGATCCCAAATGCACAAGATTGACAGATGAATTTCCCAGTCAACTGAGCCAAATTTGACTGTATACTGAAAAGTCAAACTTTGACTTTTTAGTCAAAATCAAGTGCCAAGATTCATTTTTTATCAAGATATGTCAAATTATGAAACTTGTTCATCAAGAAATCAAAAAATCACAAATTAGGGTTTAAAATGAAGAATTTTCATAACTTAGAATTTTTCTAAGTTATGAAAATCCCTAATTTTTTCCTAACTTTGTCCCATTTTTTCACCAAGATGCATTTGGATTCAAACAAAAGTCAAAACATGAAAGTTGTAGTCCATTGCAAAAGCTACAACTTTGATTCACAAAGTTTCCTCAAAAGAAGCTTGTAGCTCAATTTATGATTTTTGGAACAAGGGTGCAAAACATTCTTAACTTAGAAATTTTTTGACCTATTCTAGGCAGGATTTTTTCCTAACTT